ATAAAATTTTCAGTTGAGTTAGCATCTTCGTGTAAGTATCTAGATAACGCTTTTGTAATCAAAATCATCCCAATTGCAAATAAACTTCCAAGTCCCACTAAGACCCCATATCCCGGAGCCTGGCTGAGAATAATAATTGGTTCTGTAGTTGTCATTTTCTAAGAGTGCAACTTTTGCAACTTAACTAATTTGTAGGGTTTTTTTAAATTTTTTGGGGGTTTTTCTATTCGCTTCAAGAATATGGAACTTTTGTATATATATGAGAACCTGTGAGTTCAATCAAGTGAAATTTCAGTATATATATATATATATATATATATATATATATATGTGTATCATTATTGAGATGGGTGGAGCTCACTGAATTTGCAGCATTTACTAGGAGACATCCACAGTGCGGTTCGGACTAATGAGTCGGCTCGGGTGACTACACTCGTAAAAACAATATCTATTATATGCCTAGACATGTCAAGCCGGGCATTGGATTCAAACGTCAAGCTTGACAGAACAGAGGAAGCCATACTTTTTTACTACTACTTTGTTTTGCGTTTTTTTCATTTCCTTTCTGTTTCTGGCAGTAAGATTGCAACTTGCTAACTGTGGTGTATTCGGGTGAGTCTGAGCAAGAAAGTTCAACAATCGACCGTGGACTATGTGACAGTTGTAGTTCTGCACTGGGAGAAACAGTTTTCATGGGGTTTAATCTCTTCGCTCAGGATTTGATGATTCGCAATTCTTTGTTTGCACCACATGACAAGCTGCACTTCTTATCAAGACGTTAGGATTGAGCTATACCTTTAGCCCGTGTTAACATGTTACCATTCAAGACTCCATAAGAGAATTTCGAAACAGTGTAATTGGCTAAACAAGATAACGTCAACTCCAGTTGTGGTTGCGAAACAGTCACGGGGTTTTTTGTGGATGCACGCCCAGAGTATCTTAATCGATTGCAAAAACACTCTTATTCCATTAAGGTGATTTCTTCTATTCAAACTGATCCTACTTGCGAGAAGGTTAATGGGATCCATAAATCGCATCTGAAATGATTATAATGTAAATGTTACAACCGGCACGTCCTGTTTCTTTTTCCGTTAAGCAGCCAATATATTTTATAGGACGTTTTCTATATCTTCAGTTGAGTTTTGATTCTCTTTGTTCAAGTTTTTCGTTATGTTTTCCAAATTCCTTGTTTTGCAGATTCTCTCTGTATTTTACTTTTGAATGCTTCTCACTTCTTAGTGTTTTTCACTTTTTTCATGTTTTTCACTTTTTTTGAAATTTTTGCTTCAAAGTTTCTCAATATCCTTTAACGTCTACTGATAACAGCTTGATCTATAAAAAACTTGAATTTTTCGGAGCTTCTTATAGCTACTCAGTTATACCTTGTGGTCCTCTAAAGTTTACTCAAATGCTTTTTGAAATCACCATAAAAGATATCAAGTTTAGAAATAAAGTTTAGAAATTAGGTTTAGAAGATATTAAGTAGGCGAAGATTGCCTTGCTGCATCAAATGGCTTCACCAGATCAGCAGGAAAATACCCATGCATACAGGGGTCTTAGTCTCACCCAGAAATATACTATGGTCAAACTAGAGGAAGAGTAAGGGATACAGCCACATACAGTATAAAAATATGAATATGATAAGGGCCGGAAGTATACTTGGCCGGAAGAGCCCTCGTAATATGACCAGACAAGGACCTAGACCCGATTGGAACACGGGGTCGGTGAACAAATCGGGGACCCTCCCCCGGATGTTGCTATCCCGGAACTGACTGATAATGTCATCCCTGATATTGAATATAATCGAATGGCAGCCATTGAAATATGACAACTATCTTCTCTTCTTTCCATAAGTGCAGACAGATGTCTAATATTCATAATTTACAAACTGAAGTATCAGTGCCGTTGATGGCCGAACAAGAGAATGAGGAGGCCAATCTATCTCATTCAGTCCCCAGAAGAAATGATTCAACGGCATCATCATTTGATAGGGAGTTGAATGAAGAAACGTATACTGAAAATTCAAGATATCAAGAGACGAAAATGAAGATTGGGAAGTTCTACGAAGACTATATTGAGAGTAATTCTGGGATTGTTCTATTGTTAACGTCCCAGTTTTTAAATTCCGTGATGGTAACTACATGTAAATTATTAGTTACTGATGAAAATTTCAAAGATCCAATACACCCATTACAAATTTTATTTGTTCGAATGTTTATCACATCTATTTGCTGTGGAGTATATATGATTGTTACTAAATCAGTTAAAGATGCGCCATTGGGACCCAAAGATTTAAGAGGGCTATTAGCATTAAGAGGATTTGTTGGATTTCTAGGAGTTTTTGGATTATATTACTCTTTACAATATTTGAGTTTATCGGATGCAGTGGCTATAACTTTTTTGATTCCAATGATTACTGCATTTATGGCCTGGATAATTTTAGGAGAACGGTATAGTTTTCTTGAAGCATTTTGTGCATTACTTTCATTAGGAGGAGTTCTTTTAATTGCCAAACCCAAATTTTTATTTGGAACAAGATCAGATAGTGAAACATCAGTCGATGAAGGAATTGAATCGTCTTCGAGCGAATTGCGTTTGATTGCCAGTGGAGTTGGATTAATTGGAGTGATGGGAGCATCAACGGTTTATGTTGTTTTAAGAAAAATTGGTAAATCTGCTCATCCTTTATTATCAGTAAGTTATTATGCAGCTACTTCAAGTATCATATCATTTTTTGCATTATTATTTATCCCATCATTATCATTTGTATTACCAAGAAATGGATATCAATGGTTTTTATTCATGACCATTGGATTTTCTGGGTTTTTGATGCAATTTGCCTTAACTGCTGGAATACAACGAGTCAAGGCTGGGAAATCGTCCTTAATGATATATACCAATATGGTTTTTGCGGTTTTTTGGGATTTAAGTATATGGGGCCATTTCCCCGGCTTATTAAGTTGTTTAGGAATCATTCTTATTATCGGGAATGCTTATATGGTTATCAAATATAAAAAAAATGAAGATGATAAACCAAGTGATATTGAAAATCAAGAAATTGATACCGAAGTCGAAGACTCAAGTGCAAATGAAGCCATTTCATTACAAGATTTTACAATAACCGATGAAAGTGAAATCGAACATGATCATAAAGATAAACGATGATTAAGTATACATTATAGATTATTCAACCAACTCAATTCATTCCGAATGTTATGTAACCGAATTAAACTCTCATTAACCTCGTTTAACTGTTGAACCCCAACATCACTTGATTCAGTTAAATTATTCAAATTTGTAATCAATTTACGAGAATTATTCAAATTTACATCAATGTAATCGGTTTTCAAGAAATCATTATTATTTGGATCCGATGGTAATGCTCTAAGAGACTTCACCCATTTAAATGGTCCAGTTGAAGCCAATACCTTATCAGAGTTGACCGCACTTGACGAAGACGTCATTATACGATACTAAATCCTTTCAATCTTTCCAATACTTGACCCTTCCAACTTCAAACCTTCCAACTTGAACCTTCGAACTTCAACCCTTAAACCTCAAACGTCAAGCCTTTCAATACTTGTTCCCTCGTTGAAGAGCCATTGAGCAAGCGAATTAGTACCCGTAAACATACTAGCGACATCCCTTTTCAGAGACCAGCGCCTGCACACAGCGGGGGACACTACTTTATTCCTAACTAGTCACTCTTTTGTGGTGAGAGGTATATAAATGTAATTTAATCTCCAGTCAGTTCTTAATTATCTATTGCAATTAAGTATTGGAATTAAGTATATTGGAATTAAGTATATTGGATTCTTGTAATAAGTTGCTATTCTATTGAAAGAAACAATTATCCGTGATGCAATTATCGATTTCGGTATTAACTACTGTTGCCACTGCTTTGCTTGCTGGGGTTGAAGCTGCTAAACATAGCACTAAGATTAATAAATTGAGTAATGATGAAGCTTTAAACGTTAATGGATTCAAAGAGTACACTGGAGCTTTAGCAGATAAATATATGAATATTTTCAATGCTGCCAATGGGAATCCAACAGCCTTTGGAAGCGGAGAAGATGTTAATAATGCACAAGTTCCATTTATTAATCCAGAATCTAAACATGAAGCACCTTTAACTAATTACTTAAATGCTCAATACTTTACTGAAATTCAATTGGGTACTCCAGGTCAACCTTTTAAAGTGATTTTAGATACTGGATCTTCCAATTTATGGGTTCCATCCCAAGATTGTTCTTCCTTAGCATGTTTCTTGCATACTAAATACGATCATGATTCTTCTTCTAGTTATAAGGCTAATGGTTCAGAATTTTCTATTCAATATGGTAGTGGTGCCATGGAAGGTTATGTTTCTCAAGATACCTTGGCTATTGGCGACTTGATCATTCCAAAACAAGATTTTGCCGAAGCTACTAGTGAACCGGGCTTAGCTTTTGCTTTTGGTAAATTCGATGGTATCTTAGGTTTAGCTTATAATACCATTTCGGTTAATAAAATTGTTCCTCCTATTTATAACGCTATTGACCAAGGCTTATTAGATACTCCTCAATTTGCCTTCTTTTTAGGTGATAGTAATAAGGATGAAGAAAATGGTGGGGTTGCCACTTTTGGTGGTTATGATGAAGATCATTTCTCCGGTGATATCACCTGGTTGCCAGTTAGAAGAAAGGCTTACTGGGAAGTCTCTTTTGAAGGTATTGGTTTAGGTGACGAATACGCAGAATTAGCCTCCACTGGTGCTGCCATCGATACCGGTACCTCCTTAATCACTTTACCTTCTTCATTAGCTGAAATCATCAATGCTAAAATTGGTGCCACCAAATCTTGGTCTGGCCAATACCAAGTTGATTGCGATGCAAGAGAAAACTTACCTGATTTAACCTTAAACTTAGGTGGTACTAACTTTACTTTATCTGCTTACGATTATACTTTAGAAGTTGGTGGCTCTTGTATTTCTGCCTTCACCCCAATGGATTTCCCTCAACCAATCGGGGACTTGGCCATTGTTGGTGATGCCTTTTTAAGAAAGTACTACTCCATTTACGATTTGAAAAAGAATACTGTTGGTTTAGCCAAATCTAAATAATCTTAATTAGAATTACATCTACTATTTCGTTCTTTCTTTCGTTATTTTTCCTTTTTTTCTTTTTGTTTTATTGGTTCTCTTAACCTTTGCTTTTGAAGTCCATAAGATTTCCTAAATGCCCTCCTTAAATATATCTTTTTAAAATAAAGTCATTCTCCAATATATTTTCTATGAAAAAGAACGGCCAACTGTAGATACACCGATAAGAATTACGAGCAGCCATACCTCATCATTCAAAACCCTGGATTGTACTGCTCGTTATCTGCTTCAATAACCTCGCACAAGCTGCTTTTGTATTGCACACAATTTTTTTTTGTTTTCCCAATCAACCAGCCATCTCTTTTTGCTGCTAGTTGCGAAATTTTGATTCCTGTTGACAATCCCACTGTTTATCCAGCCATCTATGCAATTGTCGGTTTCAACCTCTTCTTATACAGTATTTTGTATGGAATCCATGCCGTATCAATTGTGAAGAGCTAGACGAGGTGATAGCACGCACCCTTCTAGCAGTTCTGGACCACTTTCCATACCAATAATATAGTCCAATTTTCTGGCTCACTTTCCTGATGTAACTAATTGGCCGAATCTTTAACCTTTTTGTTAATAGAGATTAAGAAGAAGGGGGGGTTCGATTACTATTTTTAACTATGGATGTGGTCAGTTTTCTGTTCTGTGAGGTGTTTTTAGACTTTCTACGGTATCTCCAGAAGTACATGCTTGAACTTGCCCTGTTTGAGTTGATTCAGCAAATTTGTGTTCGAATCAAGCATATTTGAACATTTGGTACATGATATATGTTGTAAAGTCAGTCACAAATTTTGATTTCATTCCTCTTTTAAATACTTTTAGCTTTCCTTATCCTTGAATAATTGATTTTTCAAGATACCTTTTTTTGATTTTTATTTTGCTTCATATCTAATCGTTTTTTTTTTTTATTAGCTAGTGTATTGATCTACTACTACTTGAATTATGGCACAAGCAGGGTATCAAAATATCCCTATGGAACTTAAAATATGCTCAGCAAACCAAACTAGTTCAGAATCAGAGAAATCAAATAGAAATACCCAATTTTCATCAAATGCTACCGAAAAACAACAGCCAACTAGATCATCTAGTAAAAATTCAAATTTAAGCAAATACAGCTACTCAATTGAGCCAGCAGATTCAATTTATTCAAAAGGATCTAGTAATAGTTATCGTTTAAGTCGCCCCCCACCACCTTCGACTCCAATTGATGCAATTAATAAACTCGAAGTAGAATCTGCTTCAACTGCTTCTATACCGATATCAATTCCGTATTATTACATTGCAACCAATTCCAATTCTCTCGATACGGTGAATTTATTTGGTAATCCCAATAAAAAAGGTCATCAACCAAAATACTCCAATACTTCCCATATAAACTCTCCTATACAAGCACCAAAACCAATTCATTCAAATATCCCTAAACCAAACCCGCAAATACAAAATAAGGAAATCGATGCAGAAATAAGAGATGATGCTTACTTTAATCAACTGCCCAAAAGATATTCTCAATTCACCTCTGACCAAAGAAATCCATTTACAAATCAAAAATCTGATAAGATTTCATTAAGTTCAATATCTAGCACTGATCCCGTTAAGCAATCCCTAAATGGATCAAGGAAACCAAGCATAAGAAGAAATCTTGATTATAGAAAGTCTTCAACAAGTTCTTCGGCAGGTGCTGCTAGATCTCGTAAATCTATCCAAAATTCAAATCAAACTAAATACAACTCTAGCTCTTATTCTGAATTAGATCCACTTCTGAGAACTTCATCCGGTGATATTTCCAATTCAATGGGTTCACAAGCAACCATTTTTTCTACAAGACAAGAATTGGATCAAAATAATCTTCATACCCGATCCCGACTGAAAAGATCGAAAACAAGAGCAAGATTATATACAACTGATAGTGATTCTACTCTCAGTAGACGGAAAGCAATAAAATTTAAAGATGGTAGTTGGATTTATAGATTAAGATTAAGAATTAACAAAATGATTAATAAATTTAAACAATTAAAATTCAGAAATTTCACTGCATCTTCTAAAAGAACAACTACTATCAGTTCAAGAACTAAAAAACAAAGAAAATTATTAAGAGCAAAATCAATGTTACGTAAAAAATTTCTGTCAAATACTAACGAACCTCAACCTTCAATTAGGGACAAAATTTCAGCCCCCCAAAATAATCCAAGATTGGGTTTGGATAAAATTGAAACTGTGAGTGTTGTCGATGATGAATTAAAATTTTTAGCAGGTGCCCCAGAAGATAATCTTCGTATAAGTGCTTCAGAAGTTAAACCTAAATCTTCTGATAAATACTCCCATTTAGCATCTTACATCGATCAACAACAAAATACTTATTCACAATTAGAAAGAAATCGTTTTGGTTCAACTCGTGAAGCTGGTGATACTTCTTATTTTAACGATGAAGGAAATATGAGTCCAGGTGAAAAACAAAGAAGAGATCAAACAGGCTCTTTAGATCCTGGACGTAAACCTTCTGTCAAAAGTAATAACAATACTGATGTTACTAGCAGTTCTACTCCTCCTATTCCTCCACCTCACCTTCAAGAAACTTTCTTTCAAAGTTTGGCTGCTAATAATTCTCAATCTGAAGTAATTGAATTATGGAAAAGCTATCTTAGTCATGTTCTTTCAAAAAGAATTCAATTAAGACAAGAAATTAACTTATTCAGAACTTTTATTGCTAATGAACCAAATCATGGACACAACGCGTTTGAAATTTACCAAGATAAGTCTGAAAATAACCAAACTGATAAATCTGAAAATACAAATGAAAAGCTTGATAATTTGCAACTTACCAACCTAAATGAACACATTAAGTCAAGACATTTATCATCTAAGGAGGATTCGCAAATTTCAAGTCAAGAACCATCAAATTCTGGCGAATATTCTTCAAGTGCTGGTTCTGATAATTTCACTGACACTGCGTCAGATGCAACTAGTGAATTAATTGATGTTGACTCAACCACTGAAAAATTCCAATCTAAGTGTCTTAACAGACGCTCTGTTTTAGGTGATATGCTTGATTACGACTCCTCTGATAATGATCTGATGTTATCAGCGGCTCAAAGTTTGAGTAATGATGATAACAGTGAAAGTGGAGCATCTCGTCTGCAAGCTATGTCAAACTCATCTTTCAGTTATTCACCTAGCTTTAGTGGTAGCATGGCTTCAGACATCGGCTTAAACAAGAGATATGGTACAATTTCAAGAAAATCAACAATCAACTCAAAAAACAACGAAAACAGGCCGTTTAGTCCAATGAGACGATCTCAAGGTATTCAGTTGAATTTAAATAGCTTGAATGAGGTTTAGTCAATCTATATATAAGACAAATATCATGCAAAACTACAAAGATGCATAATGTATATATAAATATATATATATGAAATATTTATTTGTAAAATCAGTATGTACAAGAAGAAAGAGACTAGTAAAGAGAGATCTAATTATCAAAGATAATTTGAACTTTCTTTTCAAAATTTCTCATTTCACCATGACAAAGGTCACGAAGTGGCGAACGTAAAAACATAAAAGAAAAATTAGAAAAGACTATAAAACAGAAAAAGAAAACTGACTAGAGGCTAAATCTTTAGGCTTAGTTCTTTGGTTCTTCAGAAGAAGAGTCATTGTTTTCATTGTTGTTCTTGTATAATTTTTCAAAGACTTTTAAGGATTCGTTTTGTAATTCTTCAGTCTTAGTCTTTAATTCGTTAGAATCAACTTCTTCACCGGCTTGAGCTTTAACAACGATGTCTCTTAAAGCTTGAACTTGTTCTCTAACTTTATCGGCATCAGCGGTTTCTAATTTGTCTTTAAATTCATTTAAGGAGTTTTCAGTATCGTTACATAATTGATCAGCTCTGTTAGCAGATTCAATGGCTTCTCTTCTAGCTTTATCAGATTCAGCGAATTTTTCAGCATCGTTAACCATTTGTTCAATTTCGGTATCAGATAAACCGGAAGAACCAGCAACAGTGATAGAAGCATCCTTGTTAGAAGCTTTATCACGAGCAGAAACCTTGATAATACCATCAGTATCAATATCAAAGGTAACTTCAATTTGAGGAACACCTTTTGGAGCTGGTGGAATACCAGATAAGGTAAAGTTACCAATTAATTTATTATCTCTAGTTAATTCTCTTTCACCTTGGAAAACTCTAATTTCAACAGAGGTTTGACCAGCAGAGGCGGTTGAGAAAATTTGAGATTTTTTGGCTGGAATAGTAGTGTTTCTGTTAATTAATCTAGCGAAAACACCACCCATGGTTTCAATACCCAAAGATAATGGAGTAACATCCAAAAGAACAACATCAGTAACTTCACCAGCTAAGATACCACCTTGGATAGCAGCACCCATAGCAACAGCTTCATCTGGGTTAACAGCTTTAGATGGTTCTTTACCAAAGATAGATTTAACAGTTTCAATAACTTTTGGCATTCTTGACATACCACCAACCAAGATAACTTCGGAAACATCAGAGGTAGATAAACCAGCATCTTTCAAAGCTTTTTTACATGGTTCAACAGTTCTTTTAACTAATGGTTCAACCAAGTTTTCAAATTGAGATCTTTGAATTTTTTGGTTAATATGTTTTGGACCAGAAGCATCAGCGGTAATAAATGGTAAGTTGACTTCGGTGGCAACAGTTGAAGATAATTCAATTTTAGCCTTTTCAGCAGCTTCTCTAATACGTTGAATGGCCATTCTATCTTTACCTAAATCAATACCAGATTCTTTTTTGAAAGTTTCAACGATACTTCTAACGATGGCAATATCGAAATCTTCACCACCCAAGTGAGTATCACCATTAGTAGATTTAACTTCAAAAACACCAGCACCAATATCTAAGATAGAAATATCGAAAGTACCACCACCTAAATCGAAAACAGCAACAACTTCACCATCATTTTTTTCTAAACCGTAAGCTAAAGCAGCAGCAGTTGGTTCATTAACAACTCTCAAAACGTTTAAACCGACAATTTTACCGGCGTCTTTAGTAGCTTGTCTTTGAGCATCATTGAAATAAGCAGGACAAGTAACAACAGCATTTTTAACTGATTTACCCAAGAAAGATTCAGCAGTTTCTTTCATTTTATTTAAAACAAACCCACCAATTTGTTGAGGAGAGTATTTTTCACCTCTGGCTTCAATCCAAGCATCACCGTTATCGTGTTTAACGATTTTGTAAGGAACTTCATTTAAATCTCTTTGAACTTCTTTATCTTCGAAACGACGACCAATTAAACGTTTGGTAGCAAATAAAGTGTTTTCTGGGTTAACAACAGCTTGACGTTTAGCTGGAATACCAACCAATCTTTCACCTTCTTTGGTGAATGCAACAATAGATGGAGTAGTTCTTCCACCTTCTGCATTTTCAATGATTTTTGGAATCTTACCTTCCATAAGAGCAACAGCAGAGTTGGTGGTACCCAAATCAATACCAATAACTGGTCCATTTGGAGCAGCTTGGGTAGATTGAGCACGGGCTAAAGCTGGAACACGTTTAGTAACGTTTTTCAATGAATTTCTAGCAGCTAACATTGTTAAAAGTACTGGTTGTTAGATTAATTAAAGAAAAAGAAGCAACAACCTAATGAAAGTCTTTTTTTTTTTTTTTTTTTGCCCTGAGTCGGTGGTTGTTCAATGAAATTATATAAGATTTTTCAATTTTTCACTTTCGCACATTAAAAAAAAAAAAAAATAAGTCACTAATAAAAAATGTATGGAGAATTCATTTCCGTTACCCGGAGCCGCAATCGCCGAATCTTCGAGAAGAATTTTTCCTTTTTTAATCACGTGCACACAAAACACCCATGCACCAGATTTTTTTTTCTTTTACATGGGTAACTACACGACAGTTTTGCAGTAATTTTATTAGACTAATTCAGCAACTTATAGACTACTCTAATTCAGCAGGTAGATTGCCGTTCATGATCCAGGTCAAGGATTTGTCGCCTCTGAACTCTTCTATTCTGCGGATTATTTCTTCAGGAGACTGGTTGAACCTCACACAACCACGGTCGATAGCATCACAGAGCTTTTTACGTCTTTGAAATCTCTTTGATTCTTTTGAACGGGAGTCACCTCTCCATTCATGTTTACCGTAGCGATCGTCCATGTCTTTCAAAGGGATCTGGCCACGGAAGCCCTTGTTGAACTCATCGTATATTTCATTAACAGTCATTGGATTATGAAGAAACTCCACCGAGATTTTTGGTTTTTTGGCCCGTCTTGTACTAGCGGTGGGAGTAGCACTCTCTGAGTTTGTCAAGATCCCGCCTGAAGGAGAAGCGTCTTGAGAAGGCTTATTTTTCTGTTGGCGTAAGGGAGGACTTGAATTGGCTTTACGGTTATCAAACCCATCGGAAAAAGTTCTTTTGGTGATTTTTTTCTCTTGTTGACGGGATCTTTGTTGGTTAGAAGCTTGATGCTGAGATGGTTGATTTTGTTGAGGTTGTTGTGATTGAGATTGTTGTTGATGATAATTTTGTGCTTGTACAGCAGCTTGTGCCACATGTAAAGCTGGGTCCATATTACTGTCTAAATGAGAAGATATATGTTTTGACTGATTGGAGTTAACTGATGCAGTGGCATTGGCCAAATTGGCAGCAACGTCGGCATTTGTAAGTTCAATATCATTATCGGTAGTTACTTTATCTCCATTATCGTTATCATCCGGTACATTAATTGTAGTTTCGACAGGCTCAACGTTGTTACCAACATTAACATTATCATTGGAATCCTGTATCGACTGTAAACTATTGATGATATAAAGAGGATCTTTATTTTCAAAAATATCACTTATGAGTGAAGTCAATTTTTCAATTTTTTGATTTTGAAAATCAATTATATGTCTGAAATAGCTTAATTCTTGATTAATAGATGTCACCGATGATAATATATCTAATCTTTCATTATCATAACTACTTATTTTCTTTGTTAATCGATTTAATTTTTCTTCAATTTTAAATTCTTGATTCCCAGCACCATTATTAGTTTCATTATTAATACGCTTGTTCAAATCATTACTACTGTTATTTCTGGAATCACCAGCACTCTCATGCTCTCCTCTACTAGGATTTTCATCAAGCGAAGTTCCCGCTAAACCGTTCATGTCGTCCATATCTAATATATCAAAATATTCAAAAAAATCAAAACAAAGGAGGCTTTCAACAACAAACTTGAAGTATAAACAGAACCAATTAGCGATATGGTAGAAACTGCAATGTCCGTTGAACAGTGGTGTATCAATTGATCAAATTTGTTCTCGTAAATCAGATTGATGGTAATTGCAAAATGTCTCTCTTCTGATAATAAGGGCTTTTCTTTGGACATTTGACATTTTGAAGGAGGAGACTTTTTTTCGTTGTTGTTTTCGGCAAAACGTGGTGTACGGTTTTAAACGGCATTTTTTCGTTTCCGTCAATGATTTAAGACAGCCCGTACACCAAAAGGTAGAAAAGTGCCGCCATTCCGAATTGGGCCATCACCAAAAGGTATTTCTGCACCCAGTTAAAATTTTCAATAGAATACATTTCTACTTCATCTTTTATTCTAAGAAGGTAAGGTGATAGAAAGCTTTGGTGACGGTCCGAGCCTCGGTGGAGTAGTGGTATACTTGTTCTCGCAGCTTTCAGTTTGCATTTGTACAAAAGTAAAGCAGACCGATTTCCCCCACGTTTGGAAAAGTAAAGATGACAGTTCAATATCAAATACCAGTTTGGCTTGATTGTGATCCTGGTAATGATGATACTTTTGGGATCTTATTGGCGGCATTTCATCCAAGATTTAAACTTTTGGGGATTTCCACGGTTCATGGAAATGCTCCCTTACATAAAACAACTCATAATGCAGTAGCACTTTTGGATGTACTTGGATTTAAACAAGATCAAATTAAAGTATACCCTGGTGCAGAGGAGCCTTTGAAAGGAGAACCTCTTTTCGCTGCCCATATTCATGGTGATTCAGGTATTGGTGGTGCCACATTACCAGAAACCCCTAAAATTAAACCTTCAAACGATATAGGTTATTTAGAAGCTATGCGTGATTCAGTCTTACAGTACCCAAATCAAATTTGTATTGTTTGTACTGGAACCTTAACTAATTTTGCTCAGTTAATAATCAAGTATCCTGAAGTGAAATCAAAAATTAGATTTTTATCTTTAATGGGTGGTGCCCTTAATATGGGTAATATAACATCTTTTGCTGAATTCAATCTCTACTGTGATCCAAAGGCTTCTGAAATTGTTTTGAATGATCCAGTAATTGGTCCCAAATCAATATTGGCCCCTTTGAATATCACTCACACTGCAGTTGCCAATTCTGCAGTTAGATTAAAGATTTATAATCCTCAAGATGAAAATTCAAATTCAAGTATTAGAGAAATGTTTTATAAAATTATCATGTTTTACTCAAAAGCTTATGAAACTAGATACGGAATAATCGAAGGGCCCCCTCTTCATGATCCAGTTGCTATATTCTCCTTGTTGCCATTGATTCAAAAACAACAAAACCCTGAAGAAAACTTAGATGAAGATTACAAATATCATTATTTAAGAAGAAAATTAACCATTGTTCAGGATGGCGAACATAAAGGTGAGACCTTGGTAAAGGACAATGACTCATCAATCGAAGAAGAGGACGGTTCTTATATTGGCTTGAATGCCAACATTGATTTATTTTGGGAATATATTTTAGATTCTCTTAAATTAGCCGATGAACAGGTGTTTGGCTCAAAATAATGACCTATGATTTGCATTTTCATCCTTATACATATACAATTATATATTATATGCAAAAGGCTCTACAGTAATAAAAAGAAATTCAATTAAATAGTTTCAAAATTAAGTGTAATTAAATAAAGTAAACATTTTCAAATCATAAAGTCTATCATAGTATATATATATGTGGGGGCAAACTAAAATCTTAATTTGCAGAAACCGCTAAAGGCTGTTGGGATGAATTAATTGGATTTTCAATGGGGTATTTTTCATCATCGATATTTGCATCAACTGATGCAGAAACGATTTTTTCATTATTTGAGTCAATCAGTTTTATTTTATCTTCGATAACCATACCAATACGACCTATTATATCATCAGCCCAAACAACGTCAAGATGGGAGTAATCATCTAATTGGATCACGTCCAAGTTTTTACCAATTTGATAATAACCTCTTTCATAATGTTGCATATGAGTAATCAATCTTCTACCATCAACTAAAAAATCTAAATCACAAGTAAAAATAAACATTGGGATTACATCCTTTGGGTGACTGAATTGAAACCATGGTTCCTTATATGGGAAATAAGTTTTTGAATCATCTTTTTCAATTGTTTTTTTAGGTTCAACTCCTTCATTGATTGAAGGTTCTGGGGTATGAGCAAAATTCTCACCAGTTTTATAAGCTTCTTTAGATTGTAGTTGATTTGAAAAACCTTCTTCAACCCAATAACTCAACCACCAATTCATCAATTTTGTTGAAACATAAGTCACATTAAATACAAAATGGAAATGCCAAACTTTTTTATTCGGATTCCATTTTTTCCCAGTCCAACCAAACAAAAACTTGAACATAATGTAAGATAATTTACCGAAGAGTGAAGTTGATGCTAAATGATAACGAGCTAAACATAAATTTCTCAAAAATGAACAACATCCAAATAATAATTTATAAGCAAATCTACCTTTTTTATGAATAAATTTAATAAAAGCTCTTTCGTGAAATAATTTACCAGGGAAAATTGCAGGTGCTAAGGGGAAGAAATATTCAATCTTTGAATGATAAGAAGATAAATTACCATTCCTTAACATTAAAAAGGTTTGAGTACAACCTTGCAGATGTCCAATCAAGATTAATTTTTCGTGGTTTGGTTTATGAGATAAAACATTAGTTAAAATACATGGTAAATCATAATAAGCTAATTCTCTCATATCCCAATCCCAATATTTTTCACTATGCATCAAATTACCTTCATAATATTCATGTTTTGCTTCAAACCATGAACGATTATTACCTAACCAAACATCGTACCCTTGTTCCAAGAAGTAGAAAGGTAATGAATTTTGACCAGGAGTTATCCAAGCCCCTGAACATGAAAGTAGACCATGCTGGAATAACACTGGTTTCTTCAATGCGCGAGCTTCATCTGATTCTTTTGGATCTATTAAACGATGAAGGGTTAATACGTATCCATCTTCAGTAGTTATAGTAAATTCCTTCAATTCTAAATCCAATTGCAAAGCATAATAACGCAAATCCTTCGTAGCCTTCATATCATTGAGGTTTGGATATGCCTCTCTGGGAGTATAGGGACCACTTGAATTAAGACCTGGTTTTTGGTCTTTTTCAAAACCAATGATTTTTTGATACAAATGATATAAAATAGCACCAAATGTAAGAGTATTAACAAAACATAATGATCCTAGAAAACATGTGAAGATATATATATATCTTACAAAAGTATTATGGTACGTCTGTTTCTCGGGAGGAGTAAATTCTTCAAACATCTTCAAGTGATTAAAAACAGTAACGCAAGAAAAAACAAAAAATCAAGGGTATCTATCGCTTATATTATGATCTCGTCTTGATCCAGGTGATCAATTATGCTAGATTTTTATAAATAAAACGAATTGCCTCTGCCTTTTTTGATATTAGCCGTTAGAATTAGCTTTGGTACGAAAGTTTGATCTGAAAAAAATAAAAGAAAAAGTATTTCAAATGACAGACTTCAAACTTCTTCGAGAAAATTTACTCTTATTTATCTCTCAATAGAACTCTTTAAGCAGAATAAGATGTTATCAACCCAGATTATCTTTCACCTACTCCAATTATTGTAATTATTGTTCGTTTCTATTTTTTTTTTTTTTTTTTTTGTTTTTTTCAGTATGTTAGGAGCTCTCATAATCTTCTTTTTGAGATTCGGTAACAAAGGAAGGTAAACAATCATATTCACATCCGAGAAGTTCAATCTTTTGTTAAACTCGTCTGCGACAAAAGGCCAGCCAAATCCTATTCCTAGTATTACTCAAAGTGTAATGGAACAGCCTTTTGGGGAAAGTCGCCTTGTTGTATTAGGTAACACCTCTCTTTCATTGTTAGATGAACTTAGAATGGAAGGAAATGCCATTTCAACTTAATCTTATTCAGATATCATTTTGTCCTCGGTACAGAACACCACGGAATAACATTTATATATTATTATCAGCCTTTAATGTGAGAAACAGACAAGTTATGTTCGAAAAAGTTGGAAAGCCAAAAAAATGCAAAAACAAAAAAGATTTTTACCTTGTCAGAAGAGCTGCAAATTATCTTCTAAATGCTTTGCTTAAATAATTTTTGATGCAAAACAGTGCATATATACCTTATCATAGTAGTACCTCTATTTGAAAAACACGAATTTAAGCTTTTCTTTAGTAATCCGTCATTTTTTTTTTTTTTTTTATAGAAAAAAAACTTCAAGGCATGAATTGAATAAACAGAAACTAATGAATACTGCGTGAAAACAATAGTCCCTCTTCCAGAAAAGGTGTTAAATCTTTGCCATGTAAAAAACACGGAGTTTAGAGTAACTTTAAGTCTTTCATATTTCATAATTCTTTCAAAATATAAAATGGACGACGTAAGCTGGATTTAATCCTTGGAATCTGATACCCCTGGCTATCCCTTTTATTAATTTTGGTGACGTCCAAGGAAACAAACCCAAAATAATGTACATAGATGGAGAGGAGGAAATTCAAAAAAAAATAAATATGAAAATTATGAGGATTGAGTCCGAAAACACGTTAAATTTTTAAAAATAAGATTATTAATGCTGCTGAGTGTATAAGTGGTGTGAGAGAATTGCAAAATGTTCAAATTTAAACGTTTTTTTTTGGCTCTGAAAATGTAAATTCAAAAGATGTTCATAGCTACGATAAACTAGGTGTTGAAAACGACAACAAAGTAAGACTTCGTGGCCAAGTTGGCTAAGGCGTGAGACTGTTAATCTCAAGATCGAGAGTTCGAGCCTCTCCGAGGTCGTCTTTGTTTTTTTCAAATTTTTTCGCAACTTAATCTTTTTTGCAACAATTAAAGGACCAACTTCCTAACACAACTTCCTAACAGTCTTTTACAGATTTCACATGTCTCGAAAAACATATTTAGTTAAATAAATATTGAAATATGCATATATATATAGATATGAAATGCTCTCCGAGCTAAATTGCTTTTAATTTTTTAAATTGTACCCATTACTCCGTGATAAATAGACATAGATTGAAGTTTTCAAATGAATAAAACACCAATTAAGCCCAAGTTTGTAACTGTTCGAAATACTCAACACGATATTTTGTGTTTTCAAAATTTTGAATAACACTATATCTTATATCATCAACCATAACTGGATGACCACAAGTTACGAAAGCAATAGAACCATCAGTTTCTGAAACTTCTGAAGTCACTATTTCTCCAATATTAGGTCTTCCTTCTTTGAATGTTATATGAGATAACTCTGTCTTGATTGAGTGGATAACTGAGTTTGGATTAATATCCTCATCATTACTAGAGGCTTCTACTTCTTTATAATTCTCTTCATTATACTGTTTCTTTTCGTATTCATTAGATGAATTATCACCATTAGTCGTAATATTTCCAAAATATTCTAAACCATTCATCAAATCAGGCTTAGTGATGAAAATTGTGGTATCGATTTTGGTTTCATTCAATCTCCTTAACTCGTCATAAAACCAGGATAATGATTTCCATTCTCTGATTATCCAAATTAGCTTGACACTCTGTCTATCAATTTGTTTTCTAGATAAGTCAACAGCTTCAGAATAGATACCAGGAATACCGTTACCACCTGCAATGAAAACGGAGTTTTTGTAATGACGAGCACCAGATGGTTCACCATAAGGTCCTTCAATGCAAACTCTGATTCTACCAGTTTTACCTGGTTGTTTCAGTAAGTATTTGAAAACTCCATGAGTTACTCCTCCTTTGATTTTAACATACAATACAATTGCGTCTTTATTGGTTGTCGAGTCAGTGAAGGTGAAAGGGTGAGATTGCCAAAAACAAGAAGGTCTAAGAAAATGAATAAATGCATGTCCACCGGGGATTGATTTCCAATAGGAAGGTTTTGGAACAACGATTCTTAAAGTTTCATCTGCTAAGATGGTGACAGTAGCCTTTGGTGCACCAAAACTTAAGATTCTAAAAATTCTAATGGCTCTGTCAAATGCCCAAATAGCAATACAAGCCCAGTAAAATGCTGCATAACCCAATTCAACAGTATGCTCATAAGCCCCCACAATAAAAAAGAGTGCAAATAAAATGTGGAAAATGAGGAAAGTTTCATAGCTTCTTCTTCTAAAGAATAATAAACCTTGAACAAGAATAAAACCACCACAACAAGCAGCAACCATTGCCCAAATCATAAAAGGCTTAGAATAACGAGATGGATATTTACCAGCAAAATGGTCGGCTATACTGAAAGAAATTGCATGGATGAAAACCACCAACACAACGATTCTTGAAACCCATCTATGATAAGTGATGAAAGTTGCGAAATTCCAACGAGTGACCCATTGTAAGAAATTATTACGACCAGCAAATAAGACCAATAATGGGACAGCATAACTAATTACAATACCGGTTCTATCACCCAAATATCTAGCCAACTCACCGTATTTATTGACATACATAACTGAACCACCATCAACTCTTTTCATTTGAGCGGATAAAGTTGCAACCACAACTGCTAAGAATCCAGTGCAGATAACAGTTTCCATCCTTGAAGGAACTAATAAAGAAAAGATACCCAAGTGATGGTGGTTTGATTTTTTTTTATGAATGGCAGCAGATAAAGTGATATATCTTCTATATAGATGGGAAATCGGACCATTAAATTTTTGAGTAATATTTGGGAAGAATCTGATAGTCCAATTAACTATTGCTGCAATTACTAAAACAATACACCAATAAGCCAATAAAGCCGATCCAAACCATAAAGACAAATTGTAGTTATTAAGGAAAAACCTATAGGAGTCTGAATATACTTTAAAATGAGAAAAATCAAGTAAAACTGGGTAATCGATTAATTTTGTTTTATTGAAGTTTTCGATTTTACTAGTATCTTTTAATAATTTTTGAGTTCTAGTGTAATTTTGATAAAAAGATTTTTGATCCATTTCAATTCCAACAAGCTTGCAAGTTTTAATAAACCCATTTATGATATCAGGCTTATTATCGTAACCTTTAACCAAACATTCAGACATAGTACCAAAACCGGAATCTTGAGCGCAAAGACAGTAAGTATCCAAACTCTTCTTTTTAGTTTCACATACTGTTGCTGTATAGGGAATCATCCCATTGCAAGTATAGAAAGCAATATCAAATTCAGAATAATTGGTTGGCATTACCATTGCGGCATTTGAAGCTACAACCAAGAAGGAAAATACAGCAAAATGAAGGATCTTCATTTTTTTTTGATATTATAAGAGAAATGACTTGTTGAAAGAGTATTGAAGAAAAGTGGAAAAGAGGCTAAAGAGGGAATCGAAGCAGTTATATAGAAACCCAACAACCCAATTTAGTTTCAGAAGGAAGCCCTTCAACAAAATAACATTTCTAAAAGAAGTTGTTTAAGGCGCCTTACGAAGGTTAACAAAACTAAAGGATGAATAAAGATACAAACCATATAGAAATCAAAAGGACAAAAGAAAAGAAATGTAACCACTTCACACTTCTAAGAGCTGAATTTTAAATGAAATGAGCTTAATTGGTTATATCGTTACGATCCGATGCCCGTAACTAAGTTTGCTATTAAGAGAAGAATTCTTTAGCTCGAGATCTAGCTGACTTTCTTTCCTCCAACAATAACTTAATGTAAGTCGAATTGAAAAAAAAAAAAAAAAACGCAGGACAATCAATAGGACCTTTCTTTTTCTCTGGATGTGAAAAGTTGACGTTATCAGATCAATCAGAAGGGCTGCATAAGAGCTCTTGCTAATAATGGAAAAGGCATTATTGCATTTCGAAACAATAGGCATTAAGCATAACGAGGCTAGGTTAATAAACTAACTCTTGATGAGCCGTAACAATTTTGACATGATCAAATTTAGAATTGAAACACATTTATTGCAACCCAACCACTTGAAATGTAACCAACCATCCAGTTAAAAACCTTACAAATCATACCAGAGCACGGAAAATGTTGCACATGAAAATTAAGTTCCAAACATATATCTAAAACATCTAGTCGTAAGGGTAACTCTATCATACGGAGAGTACGGACTACATGGACTTCACATGAAATGGGTGTGAAAGGAGACAGAAAAAAAAAAAAGGAAAGTGTTCAAAGAAAGCAGCCATTCAGAAGCCTCCATCAACCTTGCGTGGCTTTTCAATATACCCGAACAACACAATCAGATGGAAACTTCTCAGAGGAATTCCACCAGATATTACTGAGAGTGGTAACTGTTAAGCCTACACCGAAAACCTTATATTTGCAGAATGGCTTGTCAGAGTTGATTCAGCACCTGTTAAGTTCATTGCCAAAATATCCCTTATCAGATTAATCAGTTCCCTTGCCGTTTTTTGACAGGCAAAAAATACATCACTTTTTTGGCTGAGGCCCAGGCACAAATCAAATAAAATTCTTGGTGAGCGTTTTCGAATCCCGAATCCCGGAATACAATTTGTGGAGTTTTCAGTGTAAGCAAAATGTGAGACATGAAACCGTTATTGCTGCCCGTCGAATGTTACCGACTAGTATTGGAGCAGCAGGAGTCAGGTTATAATCGAGCAAAAACTCCTACAATGGTCGATACACATAAATAATTTATTAAAAACCTATTTGGAAGCGGGAATGGAGCGAAGAAGTAGTTAATCCAGAGATGTCACCTGATTGACCATTAACACAGAATTAAAGAAGAGGGTCGGCCCGTTCAAAGCAAGTCTAAATTCATTTTTGGGTACTCATAAACTTTCAGCCGCCACTTCGTATCAGTGTTTGTTCTAACATTGATCAGTTGAATCCTTTTCAATTTTAGTTCGATTGTTCAAATTCGTAATCGACTGCAAGTACTTTTTCATCAGACTAACTCTAAACTTCCTTTACACCAAGAGAACTGAACCGAACAGACAATCGACTTCCAAAGGAGATTGATTCGTCACTCATATACTATAAACATGATTTAAGATATTTTTTTGATTTTTAGTTATTTTTTTTGTTTTTGATTTTTCATCTTTTTCATTTTTTCTTTTTTGGGTTTAACCGTATATCTAGGAACAAATCAATGATGTTTTTTTAATGGTTCGACAACCAACTTATCAAAAGTATACATTTGGGAAATGGAAGTTTGCCTGTGCAACATGGCTAATTGATTAACCCCATCGTTATAGTGTTTTCTGATCAATTCTTCATCTTTCAAATTTTGGTGTTCTTTAAAACTATCAATGATTCTGCGTTTAGCATAAACTCTGAAGTTATAGTTATCAAACTTGGATGATTTTTCCAATAACTGTTTATACAAGGAAAGCTTTTGGGTATTTGCAATGGAAGCCATGATTGAGTTATTTAAATGAACTTGGAGTTATTAGTAGGTGATGATTAATTTGCCTTCACCGAGTTTTTTCTTTTGAGCTTGATCGTGCGCACTACAATTACAATCACTAGTTTTTTTTTTTTTTTTTTTTTTATTTAGCATCCATTAAATACATATATATATATAGTCACTAAGATTTAGTTTCCTTAGTTTCTTTAGTCTCTTCTTCAGCGTCTTCTTCGGCTAAGTTTCTCATATAAGCCTCGAGATCTTGATCACTTAAGCCGACGTTTTTACCTTTCTTTTTAGATTTTTTAGCAGTAGCATCAGCCATCATTTCTTCAAAAATTCTAGCATCTTCATCTTCATCGGGCGATCTTTCAACTAATAACATTTGCTTACCAATGAACTGAACCGCTTCGGCTCTTTTGATTCTGTCCTTTTTCGATAAAGTCTTATCATTCAACAATTTATTACAAACTTTATTCAAAATACCAATAACTTCAAATTTAGTAGAAGCCCAAGCAGTTGCTAATAATTTACCGGTAATTAATTTTTCTAATTCAGCATGTCTATATCTTTCTTCATCAGTTAGCTCAGTACCAGAAGCTTCCAAAAGCTCTTGTTCTTTAGCCATTTCTTGAGCAGTTACCTGAGCATCAATTGCAGTTTTCAAAATCGAAAACCCACTTTTCATTCTACTTGTTTTCAGTTTAACACTAGTATATAATTTCAGAACACCAAAAGTTTTACAAGCTTGAATTGTGGCAGTTGACTGATCATTATAAATCTTACCAATCAAATGTAATAATTGAATACCAAAGCTTTCAATTTTCAAGTCTTCAAATTCTTGATTTAATTTCTTTTGAAATTGTTGGAAGCTTTCGTCATTTCCAATAACGCTTTGATATTTTTCAATACGTTGTAATAAAAGAGTTGATAATTCATTAACTCTTTCTTCTTTTGCTTTCTTTTGTTCTTCATGTAATCTATATATTTCTTCTCTTTGTTCTTGAGTAATTTTTTGTTTTTTCTTCTTAGCTTCTGCTGCTAATTCTTCATTTGTTTTACCTTCACCTACTTGCATTTCACTCTTACCTTCACTCTTACCTTCGCTCTTACCTTCACTACTCAAAGTTAAATCAGATACTCCTTGAGATACTCCTTCTGATATATGCGAAGTATTAGTTTCATTAGCACTTCCAGAAACTTGTTCTTGTTTAACTTCTTGATCAATGTTTTCATTCTCTTCATCTCCTTTATCCAAAATCTCTGCAGTTTTACTTAATTCAGATAACATGGTTAATTCACCAATCCAATCTTTAAAACTATCACCTCCAAAAATCATTCTGAAAAATTCACTTGGATCAATATCGGTGGCTTCTGCTCCCATAGAATGATTCTTTAAATCTTCCAATCCAACCTCATCATATAATTGTCTTGATTCTTTATTTTGTAATACCCCATAAGCTTCACCTAATTCTTGAAATTTAGCGGCTGCTTCAGGATCATTCCCATTTTTATCGGGATGCAATCTAATTGCTTGCTTTCTATAAGCTTTTTTCAACTCTGCTTCAGTGGCAGTTGGTTCTACCCCTAAAATATCATAATACTTGGTATCCTTAACCATCTTACCTTACCGTATAACAAACAATTGATGAATCTATCTGAAAAGACAGCATCAATCTACATCACGTTTTTTTCACTGATGTTATCGTACACCAAATGAAAAGGCTTTCCCATATTAGCCACGACACGAACCACAACACCCGTACCTCCAAAAAGAAACAGAGAAAAAGGAAAAAATCACGGTAGTTGCACGTCGCCAATATGGATCTTACATTCGGGGTACACCTATAGCTATTAAAAGTGCTGAATACTCAAGAGAAAAGGCCGTGGAATTTGGTAGAATTGGGTCCATGTAGATATTCTTAATAATCCATGTAGATATTCTTAATAATCCCCAACGTTTTTCTTATTTTTTTCTTCTATTTTCTTTATTTTTTTCCAACAAATTCAAACTTCCGACATCTGCTCGGAGAGTTAAATCCATTTAAAAATAGTTGAATTTTGAAAGCACACTATGAGTTGTTTTATTGATGTACTAAAGATCAATACAATTGGCTACATTCTTACAGAGACATGATGTACATGCAACTCGCAATTGCATCAACATTAAAAATAATCCCGATAGCTTTCAAACACCTTAATTTGCAAAAATCGTACGATTTTTCCTTTCAATTTTTCAGTTAGCCTAACTTGTGGAGTAAGAACGCGAAGGTTACATTTAAAATAAATCCTAAATCGATCACAATGATGAGCAGCGACAAAAATAATTATGATTAAGCTTTAGCTCGTTTCCAATGACTTTTAGAAGTTTGGCTTGAATCTGGACAATCTGGGAATCGGTGCCAGGGTGTGATTTACAACTGGCTTCTAGAATCCTGGTATTGTGAAGGGGTTCCATTGGAGGGATGGAGGTCTGGAGGTGGGGACTCCGGTGGTCTCGGGGAAGAGCTCGGTGGTAGTGTCGGAGATGTCGGCGATACCACCTCAATTCCATCGCTGCTGATAAGATACTTCAACGGAATCAAATGTTAGCAACTAGTTGAAAAGTAGGTGAATTTTGAAAAGTAGATGAATTTTTTTTGAAAATATCAAGTAGTGGCCAACTGGGAGACTGTTAGTTTGTCTTTTTGAAGTGATAATTGGGGTAGTAGGAAAAATGGAACAAGAAGGAAAATTGGATGATAAGACCGTAGTTAACGATGCGGATTTAGAGAAGCTGCCTCAAGACCAAAATTTAGCTGATAGACTTGGTGATGCTCATGTAAATATCTTACCTTTGAAAAAGTTATTGATTAGTTTTGCAGCCATGGCTACTGCATTATTTATAGCATTTGCTGATCAAACTAGTGTTACTATAGGATTAGCCAGTATTGCTAAAGATTTACATGCTGAAACCACAATTAATTGGGCAGGAACCGCTTCATTATTAGCTAATACTGTTTGTCAAGTACTTTTCGGTAGATTTGCTGATATTTTTGGAAGGAAAAATATGTTATTAGGTAGTTTGGCATTATTAGGTATTGCAAATTTAGGATGTGGATTTGTTAAGACTGGAGTACAATATTATATTTTAAGAGCCTTTTCAGGAATTGGAGCAGGAGGAATACAATCAATCTCAATGACAATAGTTAGCGATATTGTAACATTAAAACAAAGAGGTAAATTTCAAGGTATATTAGGATCAACCATTGGAATATCAAACGCTTTTAGTCCTTTGATCATGGCTGGTTTTATTGAACATTCAACTTGGAGAAATTTTTATCGCTTAACTCCACCATTATGTGCAATAATTTTTATCACTGTTTATTTCTTAATTGAAGATCGAAAGAAAGAGTTGAATCAAATATTAACAATGAGACAAAAATTTAAAAAAATCGATTATTTGGGAGTTGTAATGAGTAGTGCAGCATTAACCTTATTATTAATTCCAATTAGTGGTGGTGGATCAACTTATTCATGGAATTCAAAAATTATAATAATTTTTTTCTGTTTAGGAGGAGTTTCATTAATTACTTTTCTATTTATTGAATGGAAAATCCCCGAATTACCAATGATTCCTCTTAGATTATTTAAAACTCCTTCGCTAAGTTTCTTATTACTGACAAATTTTTTCTTTGGTATGACTTATTATGGATTTATTTACTATACTCCGTATTATTATCAATTAGTTAGAGGTTTCAGTATTATTCGATCAGCAATCTTAATGTTCCCATTAGTCTTGCCAATGGCAGTAAGTTCTATACTGGCAGGTGCTTATATGAGTTGGTGTGGACATTATATTGTGGTGATATATGCTGGATTTTCATTATGGTTATTGGGAAATTGTTTATTATTAACTTGGAATGAAAATTCATCAATTGCCGATATTACCATTGTTTTAATAATAATGGGGTTTGGTGTGGGATCAGTTTTCCAACCATCAATGGTTGCTTGTCAAGCACAATCCAGAAAAGCTGATCGAGCAGTGGTTATCTCCACCAGAAATGTAATTAGATCATTTGGAGGAGCAGTTGGAATAGCCATATGTTCATTAATTATGACCAATACATTAATAAAACAAGTTGATAATGAATTGCAAAATGAAAATTCAATTTTATCCAAGAATTTTTTAAATTATATTAAGCAAAATATTTATTCAAGAGCAGATTTATCAAATTTAAATCAACAACAATTAAAATTGATAAGATCAATGTATATGAAATCTTTGAGAAATGTTTATTATTTACTTATACCCCTAATTGCAATCTGTTTATTAGCCTGTATCCCAATTAAAGATAAAGGAATGTCTTGTATTGATGAAATTTCAGTTACAGAAGATGAAAATCGATCTAAATGGAAAAATTTCATCTTAAAATAAACTTTTATCGACCTAAAAATTCATAAATATGATTACCTATTTCATTAACATCATATTCAATATTATATGACTTAACATAATCGTTAAAATTTTCATAAGTATCTTGAATGAAATCTTCATCAAGTAACTTTTCTTTTTGATCTTTTAAATAATCAATATAATCATGGTCAATTTCGACTTTAAAAGTAGAATCCTGTAAAAAATCATTTATATAACCTCCGTATTCAAACCCTGCAAACCAATTGCTATACGAAAAATTCAGCTTAAAAGATTGGGGGTCTTTTAAAATGTTAGTGATAAACGGTATATCCTGATCTATAAAGCGGTTAAACCCCCTTAAGTATACAATAAAACATAAACCGATGAAACTCACCACCATCACAAACTTAAGCGTTTGTATCATTAGTCTAACCCATAACCTAAACGCCTTCATACATAGTTTAATCATCAAATAAATTGCAACTAATCCAATCACTATTTGAGTCACTTGAGGATAATTTGCATTGCAATACCCCACAAGTGTCGCCGTATTATTTAAGACAACAACAAATACACTCACAAGTACACTGAGTACCCTAACTATAATCTCTTTCACCTCCATTTCACTCCCTTAATGATAATCTACCAGGTGAACAACCTGGTCTTTATTTGTTAATATTCCCCCAGACCCATAATCGGGCAACCCTACACGACCCTTCTTCTTTTCCCCCAAAAGGTTACCCTACTGGCGGCATCTCATCAAAAAAAAAACTTCCTATAAATACAACTACGATCCGGCTAGAAAACTGAAAGTTTTCGAGTTGTTTTCTTCTTGCTTCTTTGAAAGTTGACCTCCGAATGCAGAAATATTAAGGCTGTTGGATTAGTTTTATGTCTTGTGATTGCAGTGCTGCCGGCTCGCTCAGCCTTGTGTTGAAAGCTTTATTTATTCGACGTCTTGCCTATTAGGTTAGGGAGGTGTCACTATGGATTTATATTGTCAGGGTTGGTGGTGTCTGTGGTTGCAAGGTTGTTGACCTACAGTTGAATAATTTCGGACAGATGAAGCAGTGGTTATCAAGCATTTCCTTGGGGTTGGAAACTCAAGGGGATCCCGTTATATCACGACATATAGTACTGTAGACTGTAAGACGAAGTTTTTTTCTTTGGGTGTATGGGTGTAAAGGCTTGAAGCAATTAACGTGATGTTAGAAAAAATGACAGCGGCTAAGCATTTGCATAGTTGTATGTTATAAAGTTATACGGCTATTGAATTATACGGTTATTGAATTATACGGTTATTGTATTATACGGTTATTGTATGAGCTTATAATTCACCAGAGTTGAGTATAGACCGGTTTGAATAGATCGAATTGGCTTAGGTTTTAGTTGAGCACTCACTGAAAGATAAAAATCAAGTGAGAAACCCTTTTCATTGGTAGCCCATATCTTTTCCAAGTTTCTTAATATAGTAACGGAATCTTGAATAGAAGTGATCATTCTTTATTCACATTTGCCCATCACATTTGCCCATCACATTTACTAACGTCCACCATTACTTACCAATCACATTAGTAGGTGTTTGCATTTTCATAGTTCAAGAGAATATGTTTAGGAGGAAACAGCCTCCTCAATTATCATTATATGAGGAGCTTCAGCAAACTTATAATGATGTCTGTAATATTACAGTTAAGAATTTAACTTTAGAAGAAGAAGAAAAGTTTGAAGATGCATTGAAGGGATGGAAAAGTTTACATACATCGTTGTTATTTAAAACTGATTTGTTCGAAAAACAACAGTCTAAATTGAGTAATGATGAATTGAAACTATTGCAAGATATTAAAAGTATTAGGGATGAAAATGTTAAACATTTGATTAGAGTTCAATTAAGAATTGATGAAAAATTAAGAAGACAAAAAAAAGTTACGACCACCACCTCTAATACCACTAATAATCACCTGTCGAATTTGTCAGTACCATCGTTAAGAACATCGAAATCTTTTAATAATTCCAATAATTCAAATAATCGATCGATGTTGAAAAGCTTAAGACCAAACGCTGAAAACAACCAATCAAACCATGGTAGTTTATCGAATATTTCAATTGCTTCTAAAAAAGCCGCTGTTTTATCCTGGCAAAAACCGAAAAACGCTAATAATTCTAGAAACAATTCAATCAATATTCAAAAAGTTAAATCAAATGATGATGATAAACTATTTGACGATTTTGATCAAGATTCCTTTGAGTTTAATAATTCAAATTGGGATAGAGTTAATAGTTTCACCTCAAATGATTCCAATGATCAACCTCCTCCCTTAATTGATTTAGATGAAAGCCCTCCACCACCTATACCGAAACACGATTATTTTAGTCCAATTAGTCATTCTTTAGAAGATTTATCAATTAATGATAAGAAACCACCGGTACCAGCAGCACCTGCACCGGTACCAGTACCACCACCACCTCCTCCACCTAGATTGCGTAGTACGAATGTTGATAAATTAAAACCTGCACCAAGAAATGCATTATCGAAAAGTACTCCTGATGTAAGCAGACAACATCAATCACCTTCACCGCCTAAGAAAAAATATGTCTATACTAAACCCAAACCAATTAATATTAACCAATTGATGAAGGTGAATCAACAACCATCGACGAAAAAACCAATTAAGAAACCTCAAATGACAAAGCCAACTACAAAGACCAAGCTGAATATTTCTTATAACTACAAGGTGATTGGTAAACCCAGTGAAGTTAAACCTCATTCTCAAGTGAATAAACGGATACTTTCACCAACTACAGGAGTTCCCACCACCACAAAACCAATTGACGATATAAGTGATGATGAAGACGAAGAGGAAGAAGTTGAAGAAGTTGAAGAAATTGAAGATGAAGGTAAAGCGCCAATTAGTGAAGAAGCACAGGATGCATTAATTAAAAGTATTCGAGGAATCGATTATAATGCTGCCAAACAAATTTTGAATGATATAGTAGTCCACGGAGATGAAGTATATTGGGAAGATATAGTTGGATTAGAAGCGGCCAAAAATCTGTTAAAAGAAGCGGTGGTATATCCATTTTTAAGACCAGATTTATTTAAAGGCTTAAGAGAACCTACTAGGGGGATGTTATTATTCGGACCGCCAGGGACTGGTAAAACGATGTTAGCTAGAGCGGTTGCCACAGAATCAAAATCGACATTTTTTTCAATCAGTTCATCATCGTTAACTTCAAAATATCTAGGAGAAAGTGAGAAATTGGTTAAGGCGTTATTTTTATTAGCTAAAGAATTAAGTCCCTCGATTGTATTTATTGATGAAATTGATTCATTGTTAAGTTCTAGAACTGAAGGAGAAGTTGAAAGTAGTCGAAGAATCAAAAATGAATTTTTAGTACAATGGTCAGAATTATCAAGCGCAGCAGCAGGACGAGGAAGTACAAATAATAAATTATCCCAAGTCTTAATATTGGGGGCAACTAATTTACCATGGTCAATTGATGAAGCCGCTAGAAGAAGATTTGTTAAAAGACAATATATTCCATTGCCGGAACTGGAAACAAGAAAAGCACAAATTATAAAATTATTAAAGTATCAAAAACATACATTACTGGAACAAGATTTTGAACAGCTTATTTCGTTAACCGAAGGGTTTAGTGGTAGTGATATTACTGCATTAGCCAAAGATTCAGCCATGGGACCATTAAGATCGCTAGGAGATTTATTATTGTCAACTCCAACCGAAAAAATCCGATCGATTCAATTAGAAGATTTTAAACTGAGCTTGAAGTATATAAGGCCATCGGTTAGTTCCGATGGGTTGAAAGAATATGAAGAATGGGCAAATAAATTTGGCTCATCAGGGGTATGAATTGTATTGGCAGGGTATTTGTTTGTTGAAAAATGTTTTTTGTCAGATTGTTGTATTGTCTTTTTTGGCATCTTTTTGTTCCTTTCCTTTTTCGGGGGATTTATTTTTTATACTTTTATTTTTTTTTTTTTAAATATGTTTTTTTTTGATATTTTTTCATTTTTTATTTTTTTTAATTTTTTTTTTTTTTTTTTTTTTTCAATTTCATGTATGATACTCAATATTTTTTGGTTGTATATGTACGATTCTATTGCTTTGCTCTGACTTATTTTCCTTTGTTCTATTCTGGCAAGATTTGTGAGTGAAATGATGCAAAAAACTTAAAACGGTAAGCTTTGTGGAAAAATCAGATCATTTCATAATCTGAAATGATCATTAGTAGCGAATCTTAAGGGTAGTTAGAACCCCATTAAAAAAAGGACCGAAATTAGAGCTAAAAAAAGTAAAAAGACACAAGAATAAATGGGACAAAACTAGATTCAATTTCCCAGATTTCCGGTAGAGTTTATTTCAGATTCGAAAAAACTGAAATTGATCTCAAGATTTGGCCTGGCAGACATGAAATACCTTGATACAATACATGGATGTAGAGATAGATACATTGATATAATACATACAACACCTCGATATATGGACACGGGAAAGACCCACAGACAAAGGACTATATCCGCCTCGCGGAAATAATATCAAAGCTCATTAGCGGATTTATCTCGGTTATAATTGCGAAGACATGATCTCTTTTGTTCACTAATTTCCACTTACCCAAAGAAAAGTCAGCTACCCAAACAAAACTCAAAAAAGACACCCTTGAGTTAGTTTTCGCGACTGGCTTTAGCATTAGACAGACATAAAAAGGGGAACAAAAGCATAGCATTTATAAACGATAAATTAATCAGTATAATAAATAAATCACCCCAATTGCAGAATGGTAATGTATTAGAATAATGTATAATGTATTAGAATTAAGTCCAGCGAGTTAAATATCAGATGATTGTATTGGTAGTTCCACATTCATTCGACCTAGACTGATGGGGGAGGGGGAATACAAGACTATTATTTTGATAAAAACGTATGACGGAAATCGCCAACTGAGGGAAAAGCAGAAGAACTCGGGAAAAAACGCCAGAGGTACGGAGGTGTTTTAAGGTGCAATTCAACAATAAGAACAAATATTAAGCCTTACATGCATATACATACTATCCCATTACTCTAATCAAACAATTCTTTGCTTTAAGGCAATAAGTTATCACTGCATAATTTCCAGTCAAACAAAAACTAATACGAACAGCTTCTTTAAATAAATATTTAAATAGAATAAATTATCAAGGTAATAACTTAAATAAGTGTTCATCTTTGTCATTTTTCACGTTTTGTCATTTTTTTTGTCATTTTCTTCCATTCTTTTTATACGATTTATTTTTTTTTTTTTTTTTTTTTTTTTTCAGGATTCATTTTGAGAGCTTATTTTTTTTTTTTTTTTTTTTTTTTTTTCAGGTTTTATAATTTTTCATATAATTCATATTCCAGCTTATATAAATATAATATATATGAAGAGAGTCATTCGTTTCCTTTTCCCCAATTAATCATTAAAATCGAAAAAAAATAAAGATAATTTCCATCGTGAATTCAAAATTAAATCATTCAATCGATTCAGATTGTTCATCTTCGAGTAAGAATTCACCAAAGAATTCCCGTAATTCAATTCAATTACCTCCACCACCAGAATTATTGAATAAAATCAATTCTGATCGTCATCACTCCCAACAACATCAACATCAACATCAACAACAACAAATGACTAGTTTGGCCAATTATAATATTACTCCAATTAATAATTATTATGGTCCTAAAGATGATATACCTATAGATCCTCATTATACTCTACCATATCAAAGATTACCTCCTGCTGCACCACCTTTACCACAACCAATGCTACAACCCCCAATGGAATATAACCCAATGTTTTACTATCCTCATCCTCCTCCTCCACCTCCCGGTCCGCCTCATCAACAGCTTAGTGCTGGTGCCCCCGGTTATATGCCCTACTATCAAGGTCCATACACCCTGCCTCATTCTTCAATATCAATGGATCAACCATTTTACCTTACAAGCGGACATGAACGTAGAAGATTAAAACAACTGAGTACTTGGACTCCCAAAGAAGATAAATTATTAAGAGAATTAAAAGAAGTACAAAAATTAGGCTGGAGAGAAATTTCAACTTTTTTCACCGATCGAACACCAAACGCTTGTCAATTTAGATGGAGAAGAATTATCAGTGGTACTAGTACCAGTACTAGTTCTACATCTTCATCGCTGAAAAATAATAATGAAGGTTCAATTAGTGAAATGATTGAAACTCATCAAGAAGAACCAATTACTTCTTCACCGACTGCATCATCTCCTTCCACGAAATTATTTAAAAAATCTCATATGAATAAAAAATCTCATCATTCAATAAATTTCATTCTAAACTAATTCAAAATAAAACTGGTTATCGGAGTATTTGGGGATATATTGTTATTATTACTACTACTTTCTTATTATTACTACTTTCTTATTATTACTACTACTTTCTTATTATTACTACTACTTTCTTATTATTACTATTATTTTCTTATTACTATTATTATTATTATTATTCTTATTATTTCTTCTACTTATTTACCTATTGTAATTCATGTATTTATGTCTTCGTTTGTAATTTCAAGGGGTAAATCGATAAAGCTCATCTAGATCTTTAAAGACAATGTTCTCTCCAACAATTAATTTTATACAATGGGTTTCCCAATAAAACAATGCTGGCTTTAACAGACTTTACATAAAGGCAAATTTTAACCTGGTATGTTTCACGATCAATAGACGATGCGAGGGTCTTCCACTCCAGCATCTACCGCATTTAGTAATTGTTGATGGCTTCATGCGGTACCTTGCTTGCTGAAGTGTTTATTACTGGTACCTGATTTCCGTTTTAAACGTATATTTTTAAACAATCAAAATTTATTTGTTATATATTTGGGCATACAATAAACTGGATCAATTTCAATCAAATCATATTTCTCATAATTGAGTAAACTTAATCCAGCAATTCCAAAACAAGTATGATAAACATCAGTTTGATTTTCTGGTCGATCACTTAGCCCCCCGTTTATTTCATCTTGACAACTTAAAATAAATTTTTCTAAATATTCATCGTTTATCCATTTTATACTACCAATTATACTCAAACTTGATAATACCCACCAACTATAGCATACATCGGGCAATTTTTCTGGTCGTCCATTAAACCCTCCGCTGGGTAATACTTGTCTTTCACTTAACCAATTACAAAGTCTATTCTTATTTTCAATCTTATCTAATCGATTACAGATGGCTAACGTTCCAATGCATGTGAATACTTGTGCTGCATGGCTTTCTGCTCCTGGTAACATTCCAAATCCTCCATCGAAATTCTCACATTTCATTATAAATGAACTAGCCAGTTCTTTGATTTCTTCACTTAATTCTCCTAATATTGATAATGCACTCACTGATGTATAGACAAATCGAGTATCTACTTCTCCAAATTCGTCTCCTTTGAAAGATCCATTACTCAATTGTAAACTTTTTATATACCCAACAATTTCCCCCCGTTTATCTTCAATCTCTTCTAATCTTTCGTAGATACTTAGTATTTGTATCGCTGATAAGGTAGATAAAATATGGGCGTCATGTTGTGGGAATGCTCCGAATCCTCCCCTTTTCTCATCGTAACATGAAAGTATAAACTTAATCACTTCTTCAACCGGTAACTCTTCTAATCTTTTACAACTAACTAATGCAACTACCCCCCAGTACAATCCATTCATTCGCAAATGCTCCAGCAACCAGTACTCATACGTTTGTTGCGTCATACTCGAATCAAGATCCTTCACATACTGTACATGCTTGTCCTTGAGAAATCCAGTCATATTATCTATATTCTATACATATCTATACAAGTAGATTCTTTGAACGTCGTGTTTTTTTTTTTTTTTTTTTGTTTTGTTCGGTTGTTGAACAAACACCCAAACACCAAAGCAGGGTCCTAGAAGTATACGTCTTTAAAGGTAAACTTCTTCTGACTGGGGTAATACTCTGCAAAATTTAATTTCCGGTTATTATTGTTACTTATTAGCTTGGTCAAATTGATCACTTTACACCCATTGTAAGTAACGTCGAAATTCTCAAAATTGGAATCAAACAGTATTATGGTTGTTGGTAACGGTTCAATTCTCATGGTTGAGTTATAATTTGTATTGATAACTTTTAAATTTGATAAAAAAGGTTGCAAATTTCCTTGATCTAACAATGTCTTGACCAATTTTCGGGCTTGCTTGACTTTAGGTAATAAGTGTACTTCATCAGTATTAATGTTTTCTATATTAAGTTCACCTCCATTTTCTTTCTGTTCTAAAATTTGTCTTTCATTCTCTAAGTCACTCTCAAATATTATATCATTTCTTTTAAACTTATTCATTATTTCATCTTTGATGAAAACCATCTCTTGCGATAAGTATCCGATTCTAGTTGGGTTCCACCCCATTATTAAATTACCCTTGGGTAATAATCTCTCTAGTCGGTTTATGAAGACTTTCGATATTGGTTTTTGAGGTAATATATTTAAATTAGACCCTCCTAATGAATTGGTAGATTGCCATGGATCATTGGGACCCGGAATTAATATAAATTTAGTCTTTTTAATCAAAGTTGGAAATTTAGATAATACATCGGCTAAATTATCAAAATTACTTTTATAATTTTCAGAATTGGATATGGTAGTGTTAGTTGAATAGGTTGCAGTGAATGCTTGAGATATAAATGATCCAACCATTATTATTGCAAGTGGAGCAGTTTCGTCTTCGATTATGGATTCTTCAATTTTACCAAATAATTTAGTTAATCCATTCAAGATCTTGATATCATCAAGAAAACAGTTTGATCCTAATATTATAAATTTATGTTCAATTAAAGATTTTTCTAATGAAACTAATTTTTTCTTCAATGATTTGTTGATTTTAATTGTCATATTAGAATTTATTTTACCATTTGCTAATTTCTGTTCTTGTCCATCATCATTTATTCCTAGAAAATCTAAATTCCCATAATTTTCTAAACTTACATCTCTTCTTTCTGCTGGTGGTTGTCCAATATTACTAACATGGAAACATCCACTTATAACATTACCATCGTTGGCCATTGATCCTCCACTAGCAGAATAAATCCCTTCTACTATAACAAACATTCCAACACAATAAAATGATCCTTCCAGCTTATAGGCTTGCAGAATATTTAATTCAATGTAATCAGATGAATCTTCTAATATATAATCCCCATTAACATTCTTGGATAATAATCCGAATAGTACAAACTTTGATCCATCTCTTCCGAGAACATTTTTAATTAATGTAATTTCATAAGTACTATTTCGATTTTGATTACTGGTATTAATCAGTGATATTGATGAAAATGACTTTTTTTGAAAATTTTCATTTCTCGATAACCGATCTCTTATCAAATGAAACCTTTGATTGAAATACTCAATGGATGTATGCAAGTTATGTTGAAGTTGATTATTATTTCTTGTACTTAATCCAAATTGTTTTCTATTCCTTTTAAATTCAAAACACGGTTGAACATCGGGGGTAATAATCTTATAAAAATCTTCCCAGTTAAGTTTACCTTCATCTTCATACTGATTCATATCAACTAAGGTATCCGATCTTGCTGCTTTTGTCATAGAATCCCCCGAATTTGAGGACTCTTGCCTTTCAAGCTTAACACTCAGTTTACGCTCTTTATTAACAATCTCTTTCAAAACTTGCTTAAGCCCAACCCCATCAAGAAATAACCCCCGATCTTGATGTTTCCATATCTTAGCTATATCCTCCAAAAAAACTTGGGATTTTCCTCCCTTCCATTCGGTTCCAAATCTAGTACTCACGGCTTCGGTGAGAAGCACTAATGCGTCGGTTTGAATATTTAACCCATGTTTCTTCGATAAGATTCGGTAGGCAACCGGCCTCAAGTTGGATGGTTGGAGCTTCACCGGTAGCGGCGTTGAGGTCGACATGGTTATGTTTAGCACTGAAGAGTATATTCTTTCAATCCAGTGATTGAATAAATAAAAATTGATTAAACGTAAAACGCGTCTATTTTCTTTTTTTTTTTTTTTTTTTTTTTTTTTTTTTTTTTTTTTTTTGGCTGCTACTCAATCTACGTGTATTAAACTAGGGGATGCTGTATATTAACATAAGGAATATATACTAAGGATGATTTCGATCTGTTGATCTGATTTCAAAAAAATTTCATTAAATTGTCATTAAAATTAATAGAATAAGTGGTTTTGTAGTTAAATGGAAATCATATAATCTTCGTATTGATCTAGCACATCGATATCAACGTCAAATTCGAGTATAGTTCGTATGTTTCCTAACTCCCTGACCAATTCATTGAGATCTATCAAAAGTTGGTACACACTCAATAATTCATGAAGGGTGTTTGATCTTGATTGGAAGGTATGAAGTAGATTTTTGAAAGCAAATTTATTGGATTTTCTGAGAGACGAACCCTTCAGTGAATATTGACCCTTTTCCCATTTCAATTTGAATCTCTTTAAGTCATTATCGAGGTTTTTAAGTTTACTACTTTTCCTTATAATCTTTTTATCGACAATATTTTTCAATTTCTCAAATACAATTTCGATTCTTCGAAGATTGGTTAAACTGTAAACTTCATCTAGATCAAAAGTATTTGATTTTAAGTTATGTCTAAACTCTTGGAAAAAAAAATTGTATTCATGCAATTTTGCCTGGGTCAGGTGGCTTTGGTAATTATACTCATTTGACCGCTGACACTGATCTAAGGAATCTAATAGTAATTCTAAGTCTTTCAAAAATTTCATTTCTTCGAAACTGTATCCACTTCTTTTATCAAGAATTGCCTGTGATTGAAGTTGGATTGTTTCACTGAATTTTATTAGATCATAATCATGATCTTCTATACGTGCTTTAAGTGATGAAATTTCCTTGGATAAATTCTTATATCCTAAATCATACCGGAATTGATTAGCTTCTAATTGAGAAAACACCTTATTCTTAAACTTGGTTTGTTCAAGCTGAATACGGTCAAGATCTTCTTGACTATTATCCAATGGCTCGGGTTCCATCGATTTTTGATGTTCGAATTCTTTAATTTGGTCTTGTAAATCTTTACGTTGATCTTCTAATTGTTTTTGACGTTGTAACAAGTCCATTTCTTCTTTCTTATATTTCGAAAGAAAGCTTTCGTGTTCTTTGAAAAAAGATGATTTGATTTCTTCTAATTTTTCATCTTCAATTTCATGGTTTTTACTTTCAAGATTTGCTTCTAAAGCACGAACCTTTAGTTCTAATTGGTTTATCTTGGATTCGTAGTTTTCTTTGGTGTCAACCATCTCTCTTTCGAAATGTCTTTGCATAATATTAAACTTATGTTTTTCTGAATCAATGGTCTCCATAAGATCTTTGATTCGATTATTCAATTCTTGTCGCTTACGCAATTCACTATTCATGCGTAAGGTTTCATCAACAACATCTATATCATTCATATCTTCAAAGCTTCTTCTATGGGAATTGATCGAAGGTTCATTATCACTAATGGTTTGATCTATAGATTCTTTTTGTAAAGGAGTCGAGATGTTCAAGGGTTTGGCTTTTATTGGAGTTTCCAATGGATCTTCATTGAAAACAACTTTTTTTTGCACAGATTTCTTTTCGGGAGAGTTCATTGGCAATGGATCACTTTTAATATTCAAAAAATCTTTAGCAGATTTACTTAAACGTTCGAAATCAGTTTCATCTTCACTTTTGGTCAAACTGGTTAAGAAGGAGCGCAACTTATCAAAAACACCCTTTTTCTGAGGATTTAAACTAGTGACAAGCTGATTTTTAGAAGAATTATTCCGAACATTCTTATGCACCCTTGAATCCTTAGATACGAGTATTCCATTAGTATTAGGCCTCAATGGATTTTTCGGCGATTGATGGTTGAAAACTTTATAAATTTTTGTTGGCCGTAATTTGGAAGGAGTGAAGCGGACAGATTTTATGGGTGATCCATATAAATTTCGATTAGAATTTGAAAACTGCTCATCTTTGTTGCTATCAATGGAGTCTAATATTGGTTTATCCGGTTTGGGTGAATTGTGAATATATTCTCTATTAAAGTTATATTTTGGGATTGGCGATGTTGGGGTAGGTAAAAGTACCGATGTTTTCGGTATCACGGGTGCTGATTGCTTCTGTTGATTAAATTGGTCGAATAAACTGGTTCTGGGCTTTTGATAAGGTTTTTCAGAATTGAAACGAATATTTGGCATACCTTCATCGAGTATCTCGTTCCTGCCACGAACAGCATTTATTCCATTCTGCTGTTCTTTCAATGACTTGGATCGTTCATATTTCTCCGAAAGTGTTAGTTTTGGCATCTTTCCTCTTAAATCGATTGGCTACATATGAAAACTCTAACTTTAAACACACGGACAGCAATGGAACCGGAAACAAATAACGCTTCACTCACGGGAACACCTTCTTTGTTTGCTGTAGCTATGAATAACCTGAAACGATAGCTCTGCTTAGATGTTCTGGACTGTTGATATCAATGCTTAAAGACTCAAGACTTGTTTACTTTTTCAATTACTGGTTTTTTTACGTCTTCTGTGTAACGAAAAGACCCAACCACCGGTGGTTAAAACCAAAAAAAAAAAAAAAAGGAGGACGAAATCCCCCGTAAGCCCAAATTACCATCCTTCATTCGGTTAAAATGAAGAATAAAGTTCAGGATAGTCGATAAGCTAGACCCTTGCTGAAGTAATTCGCGCAACGTCAGTTGTCTTTAAAAGATATTTGGAATTTGGAGTTGAATTTAAAGTTGCAAAACAGGTTCACGCGTAATCCCCGGTGATGGTGATCATGAAATATGATTGGCTATAATGATGGTAGATAGCGATTTTGTCCAGGTAGTTTGCATCTAACTTTGATTGGTGAATCGAGACGATAAAATTAGAAATTTGAGGGTTTTAAATGGTTGTTTGACGTTGGCTTAGATGCAATTTCATTATGCATTTTTGCTGTTTTAGAAAAACTCAATACCTAGGTTGGGTTTATGATAATGAATATAATGCAATATCGTGATGGTGATTTCGTCTGCTATTTTTAGTTGGATCGTTAAAAGTATGGAAGCTACCCTCCAAACTTGAAGATGACTCGTGGGAGTTTGAGCCATTTACCACTAATTATAGTAACGTTTTCAATAACTAGAGAATTTTCATATATAACCATCAAAAATCTCTCAACTTGAAGTATGTTGCCAATTATCTTTCAATAAATTTTCTTTTTTCACTTACATGGTTAAAATTGGTTCTACAAATAATTATCAACTAATAAATATTTTATATTTGCAAAAAATCACATTGAAGAAAAAAGAATTGGTTAACATAAATAAGTTGAAACTCTATGAACCCAGCCTTGTGGGAAAAAGATTTAGAAATAAATTAATAAAAAAATATATAAACGAACGGATGCAAAAAATGAATGAATTAGAAATATGAATTATTAAGCATTGATTGATATGATAAAATTGAGTCATTAAAAAATCTTGGAATATTTGATTATACACTTTCTTTTCTCGATTTTTCTCCAACAGTCTTGTCATCGAAGCTTCTCCTTTCAAACTGATCATCCTTTGACAATTCGTGTTCACCGCTATTCTTATTGGTCATAGTGATGGAAGTAGCACATGATTCAAGATCTTGTTTCTTTGGTTCTGGCAGTTCATCAATACATTGCAAACCTCTGTCTCTAACAAAGAATGAAGAAATCAAACAAATAGCCATGAATGGAATTAACAAATAGTAATAGTTTCTCAACGATGCAAGGTACATTCCTCTGACCGCAGTGATTTGCTTATCATTCAAACCATCGATTTGAATTTTATCATAAATGTGGTTTTTCAAATAATTTAAGTAATGAGTTGGGATATCAGTCGGGTTATGACTTTCCATTTCTTTAACTTTGTTCAATAAGGTGTTACTAACAGTGGTTGAAGCAACTGCAATACCAACAGCACCACCAAATGATCTCAAAACATTTCTAGTGGAAATAACCACAGCTCTATCTGCTTTCTTGGATTGAGCTTGACATGCAACCATAGTTGGTTGGAAAGTAAAACCAACACCAGTACCCATAATCAATAAGATCACAACATTTACACCATCATTGGTTCCTCTGTTCCAAATAAGCATCAATCCACAAGCTAATAACCAAAGGCCATAACCGACATAAACAACATAAATATAATGACCTGTTCTGGTAATGATTTGACCAGATACAATTGACATAACAGCTTGTGCCATAACCAAAGGAATAACAAAGATTGCAGTATGAAGTTCATCTTTCAGTTTAATAATTTGGAAGTAATATGGCAAATAGTACATGAAGGAGAAGTAAGACATACCAAAGAAGAAGTTTGAAAATAAAAGGCAACATAAGGAAGGACTTTTGAATAATCTTAAAGGAACCATTGGTAATTGAGGAATTTTCCATTCACATAAAAGGAAGCAAATGAATAAGAAACCACCAACAACGAATAAAGTTATAATAAGAGCACTTCCCCATGGGTAACTTGAACCACCACCACTAACGGCAACCATCAATAAAGTAATGGAGGAAGTTGATAATAAGGTACCAAAATAGTCAATTTTCTTAAATTTTTCTTTACGAGATAAAATACTTCTAAGTTCTTTTTGACGATCTTCAATTAACATGTACATGATAAAACCAACAAGACAACCAAAAGGAGCCAACCAGTAATAGAAGTATCTCCAACTACCTCTCTTAATGAATGCAGCAAAAATAAGAGGACCAACTGTATTACCAACACCTACAGAAGCACCCAAAATACCTTGATATTTACCTCTTTCTTTTAAAGAAACAATATCGGATAAAATAACCATACCTAAAGAAGAAATACCACCATTACCTATACCAGCACCAGCTCTAAAGATGAAGAATTGAATACCAGTACGAGCAACACCACAAGCAACATCAGAAATGACTAAAATAGCTAAACAAGATAAAAGAACTTGTTTACGACCAAAAATATCAGACATTCTACCGAAAAGAACTTGACAAACAGTATTAGCTAACAACGAAGCGGTACCAGCCCAATTAATTGTTGTTTCAGCATTTAAATCTTTACCAATTTCAGACATTGCAACAGTAATACCTTGTTGATCAGCAAAAGAGATAACCATACTTAAGGCTAATGCAGATAAGCAAATGATTAATTTCTTTTTAGGTAGGATATTCATATGGGCATCACCCAATTTATCATGAAGTTCACTACTTTTAATTGATTTTTCAGTTACATTAACGTTTTTATCAGAAGACTTTTTCTTGCTTAAAGCAGGACTTGGTTCATTTGAAGTATCTAATTGAATATGAGGTTCATTATTTGGAGTTTGGAGTTGATTTGGGGTTTGACTTTGACCTTGAGGTTCATTTTGAGATTGAACCGCTTGGTTATGATAAGGGTTTTCAGACATAATGGATAATCAACTATTCAACAGTAGACGAAAGAAAAGAATATCTATGAAAGAACAAGGAACTGTTGATATGATAACCAATTATAGAAGGTTGAGAAGATAAAGTTATTTTATTTTAACAAGAGAATAGATAATATTTTAAAAATATGTCAAGTTGATAAAATTAGAGAGGATTTAGGTCCCTATTTAAAACGTTTTGGACTACTAGAACGATAACGGATTCAACGATTTCAAATGGCAGCAAAATCGAAATTAATCCAAGAGCTTAACTGAATAAATCTTTAAATGAATAATGCAAAAACTATAGTTATCATGCATAATAGGAGCACGAAACATAACCTGTAATCAAAGGAATTCTTTTTTTTTTTTACCTTTTGAGTTCTGACTTTGAGTCTTTTCGTATGCGCAAAAATACTTTGCAGCATTTTATTCAGTTATATGGCTATCTTCGTTTCTTTTTCTCCTGTCAAAATCTCTTCGCTTTTTGACTTGATTTCCACTTTACAATTCGATGTCCCTGTTCCTGGTTTGCATAGTAGCTGAAGCTAGGTACTCAATTCGAAGATTCGGGCAAGCATCTGAAAGGGAATTATTGTAGCTAATCATAGCCATCAATGGAAGTAAACAGAAATAATCGAGTCATAGCCTATAATATAACGAGAGGGAAAATTCGGGATTCAATAGGAAAGAAAAATAGAAAGGGATAACAGACGGTTGCGCTTGAAATTACAGTACTAGCTAGACGGACCGGGCCAAGTATTTTGTATCTAGCCTTGCAAATTGATTTTCTAATCAGCTCTTATAACTGCCTGGTTTCTATCATTTTGTAAGTCTCTACATGTGATTGGTGACAGCCTCGCCCTTGGCAGAATGTCAACTTTTATCTTTCTATTAATGGGGGCTGTCTTTGTCCTTGTCAGTTTTATTTTTACCTTTGCTTGTCGTTTGTTATTGACAACCAGAGAAAGCAAATTGAAGGAGGACATCGACACTTGCAACACGTTTTCAAATTCTGGATTGTAATACGATTTTCTTGATTCTAGGTTAGTATCAAGAACCCTAATCGTTTGTAAAAAAAAAAAAAAAATTGTCGAGTCTGGAAAACCGTTGGGGCCAAAAGGTAAAAGAAAAGAGAAAGAGAAGAAAAAGTCCCTGAGTGGATGCGGCACCTGTTGCAGCATTTTGCGCAAAAAAAGGCGAATCCACCCAAGGAGTCATAGGAATGATTGAAAAGTAATCACAAAGAGCATTCGGAATCCAAATTTCAATTAAGACAACATGTCAAGAAGCATAAGCGGTTAAAGAGACTGTCACTATGGCTTTGGTGGTTGAAAAGATAATACGGAGATCGGAATATTCAGGAATTAAGATAGTGCTAGAAAATGGGCCCATGCATTAGACAGACGAACTTTGAAGGATACATAGATTACATTAAGTTTGTGTTTCTGATGAGAGATGATAACGATTAAGATTTAGTATATGGGTGGCTCATACATTGGAATTAAGCTTTAACACGAGATACCAGGATGTTCTACGGTGCTGTGCAAGATGGCGATACACTGGACTCTATCGACACACCCCGGCTCCGAGATCCAAGTCATATGAGAGGACTTGTATTATTAT